GGCTGAAGTTCAATATTTGCACACACTGTGTCACTGGTGCAAGGTGAGAGGTCGGTACTCTTGGCAGGGCAAGCACTCCTTCAAACTCACATAAGACATCTTCTTAAATGCTTCAGGGCTTCCAAACTTGACCAAGCCTATTCCACTTCACCAAAGTAGGATTCCTGGCTGCGCCACCAGAGGGTGCAGACGTCGGGCTCCGGCTGTCAGTAGTCGTCTGCCATTGCTGAGTGGCGGTTTGCTGTGGGGGGTGTGGAGCGCCCGCTGGTCGGGGCCCCGCCTGCCGGTATGAACGCGGCTGGTTCTAGCCGTATTCGGAGGATCGACACAGTGCGGCTGGACTTTTCTGCTGCTGTGGACTGGCCCGTTGTAGAGGTTGCTCTCCTGGACGTTCTCCGTGTTGACGTCCCCGACCTCCTGGGCCTCGAGAAGTTATCGCCCACCCGTGTTGCGGTGTCGTTCGTCACATCACATGTTTACTGGGAGTTTGTGGCTCACTGGGATGGCCGCACGCTTCCTCTTCCGGCTTCGGCTGTGTCTGTGGAGATCTCGGATCCCTGAGGGCCCTTGTCGTTTGTGAGTGTTCACGGTGTGCCGGTGACCTTCCCCGAGGCGGCCCTCATGTTCTTGTTTATGTGGTTTGGAACGGCGGTGAAGCACCGGTTCAACAATTTGAGTGCAGGCCGGCTGAAGGGGGTCCGGCTGGGTTCACGCACGCTTGTCATGCGGCTCACGAGCTCTATACCATTCAGGGTCTCGTTTTGTGGGCTCTCTCTGAGGACCTTTTATGAAGGTCAAAATCGCACGTGTTTCCGGTGTGGTGCTGAGGGCCACGTAGCTGCCGGTTGCGACGCTCCTCGTGCAGAGGGCCCCTTCAGTTTTCCTGGAGGATGACTCTCCCCGCTTATCTGTGAGCGTGGATTCCCCGGCAGATCCTCGCTCCGTGCAGGTGCCTGGTGAGGTTCCCGAGGCGGTTCAAGCTGTCGCTACGTCTGGACTTGATATGGTTGCCCCACAGGTCAGCTCGGGGGACCTAGGGGCGCCTGTTTCGGACCTTCGTCGTTCGATACCTGCGGAGGTGCTTCCGTATCCGGTGGCTTCGGGGGTTGCTGTAGGGATGGAGCCTGCGTCGCCTGCTGAAGGACATGTGCTTCCCGGGGCTGGCGGGGCGATGGTTTGTGTCTCTCCACCCACCCCCTCTGCCTCGTCGCCTCTGGCAGTTTCCTCGTTGACAGTTACCTCTTCTCTGCCGGTTCCGTCTCCCTCCCTGGATACCTCACGTGTGATGAAGTCTACCCTTCCGCCTGCGGTGTCTCTTCCTTCTCCGATTCCGGTCTCCGTGCCTGGTGGTGGCTTTTTGCCCCGCGTTGTTGAGGCTGCTGTTCTGCGTGATCGTGCTGCCCCGGCTTTGGGGCCACCTGCTGTTGGTTTTTCTGGGGCGCCGCTTGCTTGGGGTGACAGTTCCGAATATCAGCGACCTCTGTTTAAGCGCCGTCGCTCGACTCGGGGTCCGTCACCTCGCCGGTCGTGGGCAGAGGAACGTGATGCGATGGATGATGATGCTGTGGCCGACGCTGTGTTGCCTCCTGTGGTGCCTTCTGTGTTGGACACTGCCTCCTGCTGGTGTCTCCCCCTCAGTGGGCGGTTGCCCCTGGTGATCGCGACCTTATCGTGGTGTTGTCGAAGGCTGTGCGGCGAGGGGCCTCTGCTCCTGTTCCGGTTGGTGGGAGTGCTGGGGCCCATGCGGAGCCACCCTCCGTGGGTCTCGGTGCGGTCCCTGAAGTCGACTGGAGTGCACGACCAAGTGGGCGGGCCGGTGTGTGGCCTGACGTGCAGTCCGGTGTGCTTCCTGGTGTGCGGCCCTGTGACCAGCTTCCTAGGGGGAAACCCATCCCTTTCGTCCTCCCGTCCGGCGAGGTGATCGACAGATCTACGACAACTGTGGCTTTTGAGTGTGATGACCTGGTGCGTCCTGTTTCCTAGTGCCCATCTACCATCCGGGTTCCACAGGCGCAGTGTTTTGTCTTGGGAGTGCCGAATTCGATGCCTCGGCCTACTGCGCCTCCTGGATGTCCGCTTCCTGAATGTAACCAACTTGTTTGGGAAGCTTATTGCTTACGGTTTCCAGATCGGGAGTACCCGGAGAAGTATGAGTGATTGGTGTGTTTGGTTTCTATCTGTGTTGTGCGTGATGTTTCCCCGGTGCCTGCGTGCACAGGTGGGTGTCCTTGTCTGTGCGTGTGGGTGTTGTTCTTGCCCCTGCGTGGCCTATTTTGTTGTATGTTTTGTGCTTTACTTTTGGTGTGTGTGTGTGTTTGTGTTGTGGTTGTGTGCAGTTGTGGGTGTTTGGTGTTATTTTTCTCGTGTCGTTGTGCACGCCCCGTGTATTGTGTTCGGGTGGCTGGCGGTGTTGTTGTGTATGTCGCTTGTGTGCGTGTGTTTATTTTCTTGTCCTTGTTGAATTGCTTTATTATGTGTGCAACATTTCTGTCTTTATGTTATCTCTGTTAATATTTCCCTGTTTATGTGTTTCACTGTTTTTCTGTATTTATTTTTTGTTGTTTCCTGTAGCTTTGTAATTTGGCCTCTGTATTGGTGGTTTAGGAGGCCTGTTGTTGTTATGTACTATCCTGCACCTGTGTTTGGGTTGTTGGGCTGGGCTTGTTTTGTGTGTTTTCTTTTTGTATTTCTGTACTTACGATATTTTGTGGATGTGACAGGTTTACAGGTAGTACAGGTTTTATGTTATTTATAGCTTGTGTTATTTATTTGTAACGTTCTGTTTCTTGTGTTAACTCCAGTGCCCGTTTCTGGGTTTTCTTATTTTGTGCCTTGTATCATATTTTCTTTCTTGGTTTTTGTTGGGTATGTTTAGTTTGCATCCGTGTTGCCGTACTTTGTTATATTTGTCCTCTTTATATTTATGATTTGTTGTTCTGGTATTGTCTGTTTTGTACATTGTGTATTTTTTTATAAAAAAAGGAAAAAAAACTTGACCAAAGAGTAACAACCGACACAGCCTGGAAGTGAGCTCGTATTATATCACAGAGCCACAGAGACGACGGCATTATCAGGCCTGCTGGCAAACTTTAATCCAACTGTATCACACCAGCACAACACTGGGAAATGTTTGTACTGCATTGGACGCATGTTGCCTCGTCTGCTGGTTAGTGTGTGGCGCTATATTGTGCTATAGACACTTAATATAGTCCGCATATTTACGAGACGAATATTTGAGCATTCTGATGTTTCACTCATTTTATTACATAAATTTCTCAAATGACACACCATTGAATAATCCTGGATATAAAAAGAGTGAAAACAAATTTGAAATATTCATATAAATATCTACATATACCTCCACAGCAACTCCTGCCACGAGGCTATAATACAACCAATATACCCACTTCACCACGGCCGAAGTCAGTCATATACAATCTTTTTTTTTTATCCCGTGATCAGGGGAATACATTTTAACCATATTAGAAGTGACAAAAACTTTTTTATTTAGCTTTATTGAGTTAAAATCGCCCCCACCATGTCTCAGTGCTATGTTGCACAGTTTCCTGGTCATTAACGGGATTAATTCAAGCTGACTCCTGTAGGGGAAGTGTTACAATTAGGAAAATGAGACCAACGTAGATGAAATTGTAAACACTTTCCAACCACTTGCACTGGACGGTAGAGCAACGGTCTCGCTTCATGCAGGTCGGTGTTCAATCCCTGACCATGCAAGTGGTTGGGCACCATTCCTTTCCCCCCGTCCCATCCCAAATCCTTATCCTAACCTCTTCCCAATGCTATATAGTCTAATGGCTTGGCGCTTTCTCCTGATAATTCCCTTCCCTTTCTTCTTCCCAGAAGGAGTGTTTCCCAGGCCAGTGTTATAAGGGGGCCTGACAGCGCTTTGGATTCATACATAGTCCTGAGGTTCCGGGTTCAGTTCCCGGTGGAGGCGGAAACAAATGTGCAAAGTTTCTTTCACTCTGATGTTCATTTTCACCTAGCAGTAAATAGGTACCTGGGAGTTAGACAGCTGCTACGGGCTACTTCCTGGGGGTGTGTATAACAAAAAAGGAGGCCTCGTCGAGAACCGGGCCGCGAGGACGCTAAGCCCCGAAATCATCTCAAGATAACCTTCCCAAGCACATAAAGACATTTCCTTTATTGCTTCCTCAACTAACTTCATTTCATTTATGGTTTAAAAACTGTTCTCTAAATATTGCAAATACATGCAAATAATAACTCTTTATTATCATTTATCAGAGCGATTATTATCATATTATCATTTCAGAGCAAGGTAATTTCTTTAATATTATCTATTTTTTCGCAGGGATATTCCTGCGCGGGCACTAAGCCTCTGGCTGGTCCACTGCGCGCCCTAAGCCTCTGGCTGGTCCACTGCGCGGGCACTAAGCCTCTGGCTGGTCCACTGCGCGGGCACTAAGCCTCTGGCTGGTCCACTGCGCGGGCACTAAGCCTCTGGCTGGTCCACTGCGCGGGCACTAAGCCTCTGGCTGGTCCACTGCGCGGGCACTAAGCCTCTGGCTGGTCCACTGCGCGGGCACTAAGCCTCTGGCTGGTCCACTGCGCGGGCACTAAGCCTCTGGCTGGTCCACTGCGCGGGCACTAAGCCTCTGGCTGGTCCACTGCGCGGGCACTAAGCCTCTGGCTGGTCCACTGCGCGGGCACTAAGCCTCTGGCTGGTCCACTGCGCGGGCACTAAGCCTCTGGCTGGTCCACTGCGCGGGCACTAAGCCTCTGGCTGGTCCACTGCGCGGGCACTAAGCCTCTGGCTGGTCCACTGCGCGGGCACTAAGCCTCTGGCTGGTCCACTAAGTGTTGCTTGTTTTTGTTTGACTTAGACGGAGTATGAGTATTTATGACTCGTATGGTCGCTTCGGGGAAATTTTGCCCCCATGTGTTTAACAACTTCTGCTCTGTTGAATCTAAAAAATAATATTTCTGGTCATTATCAATTTATTTATTTTTGCTTTCAGAGTTAATCAAGAGAAAATTTCCGGCCAAAATGTTTCCGTGGTTCGATCCATAGCCCTTCATATGTGGTCCTAAAGGTACAGTCTTATACTTAGCCAAACTTTTGAACTAAACCTTTCACATAATCTGTGTTACTTTGTGGTATAGTATTGAACACTTACAAATAAGAGCAGAGCATAAATAAATACTTAAATAAGACTTAAATACATAGCAGTGCTTTATAAAGATTAAATGAAATATATGCTAATATGGTTACATTATTTTAGATTTGATTAAAGCCTAGTATTTTGAATTCCTAATGCCATCAGATTTACAGCTGTGCTTTGGGACGACCTTGAATCAACGCCGCTCAGAGATCCTTCTTGAGGTTATCTTGAGATGATTTCGGGGTTTTAGTGTCCCTGCGGCCCAGTCCTCGACCAGGCCTCCACCCCCAGAATGACAGCTGACTGCACATCTGTACTGCATGGGATCGAACCCGGACCACAGGATATATCTGTGTACGGGAAGAATTTCAGTGCCGTGTGACTGGTTGAGTTGCAGGCAGGTACTTGACTGGTCTCCTGAGTTGATCATCAGCATAGTTGGTAGTACAGGTTGTAGTACAGGCCAGAACTGTATCTGCAGCTTTCCCTGTTAACATGGCAGGTGCCGTCACCGTGGTGGTTCAGGGGTCCGCACGTGTGTCAGTAGTAGTACAGGAACCCCCCCCCCCCCATGTCACAGTGGTAGCAGTAGTAAAATACGAAAGTGTTTACTTCTGCAAGAGGCTCCAGTGGGAGTGAGGATGGACTTGTGACTTGTTTTCATTGGTAACATAATGTGGGAGAAACTTTGGACAGGCGGAGGGTAGGAGTGGCGCCATTTTCAGATGTTCAAAGGTTGGCAATTCAAACAGTTATGTCTGGTTGTGGCAACAACACCACTTTCAGTTGGAGTTAACTGTTCAACCATCTTGTTAGACTGAAGACAGTAAGCTGTGGTGTGGTTGTGGGCGGCTCCCAGGAACTACTGCAGTTTCTAACATAAGTGTGACCCGAATTACAATCCTTGGTCGGAGATAATCGTTGCTGTGGAAGCTCCAATCCCAGAGACTGAACCAGTGAGGAAACTAAGAACTACCAACTCTGTCCTCATCTCCACCATATGTTCTGGTCTCATCTTGAGACGTGGTGGGTCCAGGTGAAGTTTGTATGAGCGCCCTCCATGTTGAGGAAGAGGGCCGCTGATCTCTTCATGAACCACTTCAAGTCTGACAGAAATTCGCGGGAAATACTGCAGCGGCATCTGTGTGGTTGTGTGTATCTTTGATTGTTAACATTAAAAGCGGGCATCATTGATGATTCCTGGCCATACCACCTACTTGTTCAGGAGGCCCGACGTATTCTGGATGTCAAGGTTAGCCAAGGAGTGGACAGCCGTGAAGCTCCGCTAAAAATGTGTCTTTAGTATGTACAGCTGTAGGACACCAATGAGAGAAGTGTCTTAAGTAACAGTATCCTCGGACTTCAGCAAGGGTACAACACTGAGGTAAAGTGCTGAGGGAGAATTCACAGGTGTTGGGGGTACGCGCTCATACCACAGCATTCTGGTAACCTCTGCAAAATAAATGTGAGACGTCGCATGGAGGATGGCACAAAAACTAGGTCGAGAAATGGCAGTGGCGACGGTATATACAGTTTCCCTTATATCCCAGCTCCTTGTTCTCATATCCTTATAAGTACTATACAGTTATATCAACTTAGAGCTTTCTCATAGTTACCTTACCAAGTCAGGAATTGGGATATATTGCTCTAGTGTTCAGTGACTCACAGTGATTGGGAACTGCCCTTGACCACCAAATCGTTGTCAGTTGGGAGTAGTTGGTGAGGAGCTGAAAGTAATGTCCCTATAGAAAATGACTGAAGTTTTGAGAAATTAATTCTTCCCCTTAGGAACGTACTGTATTTTGCCTCCACTGAGGTTAAGTGTATCATGGAGGAAGTAATTGGATATAATATGTCATTAATGAACATATTGTAAGACTACTGCCATATTAGTGTCAGAGTTGTTGGTAGAGAGGCTGTTGGTGTATAGAACACTGGATGGGCAAGGAGGTTTAGATCAACTAGCTGCTAGAGATTAGCGAACACTTGCTCGGCGTCTTGTTGCCTTCCATGACTGCCTACCCCATGCAATCCAAGCGAAAGTTTTGAGATGTTGGAAAAGTATTAGATAAATCTTATAAACACTCGCTACACCCTGGAATTCAAATAGCTTCTTAGGAGTTGCGGGTCGTGAGAACTCTTGGAGAGCCTCATTCTTCTTCACCAATGACAGGATATCAATAGTAGGTACTTTGCGACCCAGGAAGTAGAGTTCAGGCACCTAAAAAAATGTATTTACCTTGCTTAATCTGGAGTCCATAGCTGTGAGTGAGTAGCAGAAGGTGTTGCCGATGTTCACCTGTAGAAGGACTCTCTCTGACGAGGCATTAATGTAGGCACAGCACTTGAAAAGGTCTCTGATGACTTGATCAATGAAATGTTGGAATGTCTGGACTATTTGACAGAGGCCAAATGGCATCAAAAACATTTTAAACTAGCCAAAAGATATAGTACTTGCTATTCTGGGGACATACGCAGGATACACCAAGACTTGGTAAAATGCTCAAACTAAATATATTTTAGAGAAAGTGTTCGCTCCTTGCAGTTCGTTAAAGAAATCCTGAATGTGTGGGATCAGATTTTGGTCCAAAAGTTTCCTTACATTAGGGCTCTGTATTCCTACAAGGAAAGACATCTTCTGCGGTTGTCCTGGCAACCGTAGGCAGTTGGAAGGCTCAGAAACTATTAGTACGTCTCACAACACACACAGCTAACAACTTGTTAGATTCTTCCTTGACCATCTCCCCTCCCTGTCCAGCTCGTTGCTGCCGTGGAAGGGCTTGGTGGGCGGCTGCCGGAGTGTGGTGCTCCTTAGGGCGGTCCCCTGTCCTTTTGTAGCCTTGTGGTCCTGCTGCTGTCCTCGCGAATTTTGCTGGACGCCTTTTCCTATTCCTTCTGTTTCGTTTTTCTCCCCCCTCTTCTCCTATCTGCTTGTCGTTTCCTGCCGACCTTTTGCTTGTTTTGATTATTCCTTTGGACTTCTTCTATTTTGACGCCCGGGTGTTTGAGGAGGCATATTCTTGCACCCGTAGAACTGTAGTACCTAACGTCGCGAGCGAGGGGAACCTTTTATTGTCAATCCTCCTTTCATCACTGAACCCCGCTCTCGACGGACTCACGGTTCTTAAGGTGGCGTTTGTGGGGTGTATACTCACGACGCACCCCTGGGGGGCCCCGGCAAGATCGGCGATAGCTTCTTGTTGGGTGTCCTGCCTCTAATTGTGGCTCCATGGTAGGTGTGGGGGTACATTCGTGAATGAAAGTTTTTTCCTCGTTTTCATGGCTGACAATGTTTCCCTTGTTCCTTCTCAGGCTCGTGGGGTGGGCGACCAAGCCCCCGAGTCGGACTGTGTTGGAAGACCAGGCCCTGTAGCCCCCGCTGCACTGGGCCCCGCCGACCTGACTACTCCCCCCAGCTCCCCTCCCTCCTCTGCGGTAGGGTCGACTCCCCAGCCTCCAGTGGTGACCACCTCGTCCCCTGGCATGGCTTTGTCTCTCTTTGTGACTACTGCGACTTTTACCCCCTCTCTCTCTCTCTGGGGGGTTCTCAACGCCGTCCCCGCCACGGCCGCACTCGCATGATCCCTTCCCGTAATAGTACTTACAATGCCTTGTTTGGTCCCGCTACGTGGGCTAAATACTTTGATCTCCACCATCTGGATTCTACTCCTCCTGACGATTTCTCCCTCCATAAACACCTTTTTTGGTTCAGTAGAAGCCTCTGTTACTTTTAACTCCACCAGTTATAGTACGCCTGTTGTCGCTGCTCCTTCTCATGATGCAGCTACTTGCTTAGCCGCTTTGTTCTGCATTGGAGAGACCCCTGTTCGGGTCTCCAAAAACGCTCAGTTAAATGCCAGTGTTGGCACTGTTCTCCTCCCACACCATGTTGCAACTGGTGTTCGGGACCTCAAAGATTGCCATGAGGATATTAAACATATCCTCGAAGCCCAAGGCCATTCTATCCTCCAGGTGGACACGTTTACTCGACCCCCTCGTGGTCGTCGCTGTCAGCCCCTTCGAGTTGTAAAAATCACCTTTGATAGTAGGGCCCTTCCGCCCTCTATTATTCTTGCTGGTGCCAGATGCTCCGTTCAGGAGTACATTCCCTCTCCTAGACTTTGCAATAAGTGTTGGAAGTTCGGGTACGGTGTCCTCAAATGCACCAGTACTGTGTATCTGTGCCCCTTGTGTGGGGACGATAGTCATTCTAAGTCCGAGTGCACTTCTCCCCAGGCTCGCTGCCTCAATTGCGGTGAAGCCCATCCTACCTTCTCACGCTCGTGTATGCACTACAAACTCGAGAAAGCCGTCCTCAACTTGAAGCACTGTGATCGTCTGTCTTTTCCTGAAGCGAGACGCCAAGTTCGTCGTCTCACCCCTTTTGCGGGCATCTCCTACGCTCGTGTGTTGCGTTCTACCTCTCCTCGTCCTTCCCGTCTCCCTCAGTCTCACAACCGTTTCCAGGCCTTAAACCCGACCACACCCACCACCTCCTCCCTTATTCCTTTGCCTCCTGTCCTGGATAGTCTCCCTCCCGGTTCTCCATCTGGGGTTTCCCCCCTTCCTACCCAGTCCACCATATCTCCTTTGTCTTCTTCCCTATCTCCTCCCACTCTTTCTTCCCGACCCTCCCCCAGTCTCTTGACCCTCCACGCCACCTGTCTGTCCAGGCTGATATCCATCATCCTCCCAGCAATCTTCGTGTTGTTCGCTCTCGTTCCTCTTCTCCTGCTGAGACCATTGAGTCTGTCGCCCGGTACGTTGTTACTGGAACGCCTGTCTATTCGAGTCAGAAACGTAAGCCTGGCTCCTCTCCAGCGGGTAAGAAGGTTTCGCTTTCTTCCTCACCCCCTCCCTCTTACTCTGTCACTACATCCCCTCCCAATTCAGTGGTCGAACCCCCTGTGTCTGATATGGAGGTTTCTTCCGCCCCCGATTCCCTCTCTGTTGCTGCCCTTCCTGAGGTGCACTCCCTGATTTCTGCCCCCCCCCCCTCCTCCAACTGTCCTTGCCTGCCCCTCTCAGTTGTCTCCTCTTCCTCTGGACCCCGTCAGTCCGCCTCTGGTCTGTTCTCTCACTCCCTTCCCTCTCTCCTTACTAAGTTTACCCATGCCCCCTAACCCTGATTTTGCCGACCCTGCTCCTGATCCAGACACTGATCCTGATCTTGAGATTCTTTAATAAACTGTGTTCCTCTTTACCTTTATTTATTTCTTGTTCTCTGTTACTGTCCTTTCTCTTTGATAATGTCTATTCTTCAGTGGAATATGCGTGGATTTTATGCCAAC